AATTTTACACTATCAAACAATACGTTCTTCCAATAACACACAATTTAAACTGATTGATATCGTGAGAAAGTTCTATATAGCCATACATCAATGCTGTTCACTTACTGTACCAAATATTTTTCAAAAGTTCAAAGCTCAACATGTCTTGTCAGCACACTACAAGAAAAGATGAGGAAAACAATTCAAATGTCAGTGCACTTGAACTAAAAGGACCTTAAGTTAATCAAAACAATGCTTTAAAAAAATAAAGGATATTCAAGCCAAGAATAATATATGTAACATAAATAAAACAATAAATACATTTCTACCAATCCACAAAACCTTGCTTATTAAAAGCGCTCTACAATTGTTTAACCAAATTTTAAGCTCTTTAATTCTAGTAATGTTGACATTTTATATTTGTTCATTTATATTTATTTAGATGCTTTTATCCAAAAGCGACTAACAAATGAGGATAAAAACGCAGCATAATTGACTTAATACTGTAACGTACATGTAAACGCACTATATAAACAATACGTTTTGTTTATAAGAAGATTTCTGGTGCATATGGAGCAGAAAAGAGGGTTTTATTTAATTGTGAATTATTATATCATAATTTTTGTCATTATAATTGCCATATGAACAGGCTTTGGTGTATATAAACAGAAATTAAATGAATTGTGATTTCAAATCATTTACCGGATTTGTTTAAATCTTGAGGCTGATATGTAACTTGAGTCCGCAGTATATCAGCAGCATGAATGTGTTTTTCCAGCCCCTCTGTTTTTCCAGCAGCAAAAACTAAAGATGAAACTGTAAATTCATATAAGAATTATTAATATGCATAAAAAAATCTATGACATATTTAATGACAAAATCTTGTTTTTTGTAAAAGATTATCACATATACTACTACTTGGATATTTCTATGCTGACTCCTAATATCCTAATTAAATATTTATATAAATTACTCACCAATCAGCACAATGAGCAGACAGCCACACATCAGAGCAGATATGAAGCCAATAATCTGCCATTGTGTTTGATTCTGATCCATAAACACCTCTGCTGTACGATTGAGACACTCATCTAATTCAGTTAGTTGACCTGGTTCTGTGAATAAAGTGTTTAAAAAGTGAAACCAGTACCAATGTTAACAGTAAACATTAGCTTTTCATCACTGAAGAACTGAATGGACTCACCGGTTGTGATGTATAATCTGGTGCTGCTGCTGAATTGTGGAGGTGTGCGTGTGCTCATACAGTAATAAAGTCCTAATTCATCAGCAGTAAGGTTATTAATAACCAGACGATGTTTAAACTGCACTGAATATTTGATTCTGAATGATTTATTCAAGTATAAAGACGATGCTGGTGTTGAGAATGATCGCAGAATCACTGTTGGAGGATCTGGAGTTTTCTGTAAGATCCAATAAACGTCATTTTCATCAAGATCACAGTTTATGGTTACATTTGATCCCAGAGCAGTTAGTAGATCTGCCACTCCTGCTTGACAACAGATCAATACATCTATCAAAAAAAAAAAAGAGAAGCAAAATGAGCATCATAATTAAGATTAGAGATGAGAGTATAGTTTAAACATTTCCACAGATCCCATAAGCAAAACTCAGTTTTATTATGTTTTCATACATGTTTGATGATAATTTCCATAATAAATTAGAATTTTGACAAATTTTTTGAAATATGTGGTTTATAATAATATATTTCATTTAAATGCTTCATAACTTCATACATTTAGTGTTTGTTTAAAATGGGACAAATCTGTAATTACTTTAATCTTTAGTTTATTTAAGAGTTTAGACAGTTCTTTCATGCTTCGCTAAGAAGAAGATAACCAGTTGCAATTTTCAGTTGTGCGGACTAGAAACATTGTAAAACTGTGACCCGCTACTACACCTATTTTGTAGAGCTGGGCCAATAAACGATATTATATTGAATTGAACTAAAATATATGTCAATAAAAATGATGTCAATAACAAAAGCTCTGGACTTTTTAACTCTTTTTGGCCACCGAAAATGTATCCGTCAAAAACATTTTATCCTCTAACATGGCTTCAGTCACTGTTGGGATACTCTTTGAAATCTGGAAGCATTTCCAACTTATATCGAAATATATTTTTATTGTTAAATATGGAAAATAATTATCAGGATTGCATTTATTGCTAAATCGCCCATGTGACATTAGATATTTTCTTCTGTGTGCATATATGTAATTTCGGTAACACTTTACAATAACAGTACATGAATAATGATATGTTAACTAAACATTACTTTATTATGAATTAATGATGAGTTAAGGTATGCACTAATCATGAATTAACTTTAACTACAACAGGAGTCACATGTAAATAACAACTACCTTAATTACTTGTTAGTACATGTTGTTCATAAATGTATTAATTAACATTTAAGTTTAAGCTAAATGTAACCAACATGAACTCATGAGCTGTTAATGTAGTTATGTCATGACTACTTGGAGGGGCACATCACTATTAACTCATTCTTAACTACTCATAAACTCCTGTTCATGTTGATGTTGACAGAACACTTTTCTATTGTTCTTCAGTGTAAACTCACTAGTTGGACATGCATAAGGAGTTCATGAGTAAGAATGGGTTAATGATGATGTGCCCCTCCAAGTAAAGTCACAACATAATTATACATTAACATATCATGAGTTCATCATGGTTAAATTAAGCTTAAGCTAATGCGGTAATTAATACATTAATTAACAAACAATCATGTACTAACAAGTAGGTATCTGTTATTCACACATGAACTCATGTGACATATGTTGTAGTTTATTCATGATTAGTGCATACCTTAACTCATCATGAATTCATAATAAACTAATGTTTAGTTTACATATCAATACATCATTATTCATGTACTGTTATTGTAAAGTGTTACTGTAATTTCTTCATTCATTCATGTTGTTTTGAACTGTGCTGCGTGCTGCAATTAATTTAATTAATTCAAAATGCAATTAAATGTAATATATTATTAATTTTACTTTGAACATTTTAATTTTATTGACAGATTATTTTCATTTGGGTAAACCTTTTTATTTTTGTCATTACATTTTAAGATGATACACTGTCACATTTTTAGATTTAAATAAATGTAAACTAAAATAAATATATTGTACACAATCACGTACAACATGTGGATGACAGTCAAATATTACAATATATTGATAATGCAATTTAACTTACAGAGCTGAAGCTGAAAACTCCTCATGTCGCATAGAGTAAAAAACTACACAAAGTCAATTCCCGCCAGAAGTTCAGATTAGATTGACTGAAGCACTAAAGCAAAATAATATGAATCTTAGACTCACAACACTCACTATGAATACTAAAAGCGTCAACTCCGAATTTGATCCTGATATGTGATGAAAATACAAAATTTATTATTTACTTACTCGGTCATTCCGCCGCCATCTTGTGGTGAAGCAAACTTACAGCATTTTGGTAACAATTTAAATAATACGTTAATTTGATCTCACTCACATTGGCAATAATTTTTTTCAAGAAAATTTTGATTATTTACATTTTCAAGACACAATAATCAAAAAACAAACTCGCCTGTAGCGCGTGATGCAGATCTACTGTTGTGTTTCCACTCACAGAGAGATGTTTAAATCTCATTGTTCCAGACATTCATCAGGTTCAGACCATAAAGATCTCAAAGCTTCTAATCTGTGAGTTTCCTATAAACATTTGATTATATGGGTTTTGTTTTAATTTCATACCTCAATAAATGTGTTTCTCTCGCAGGTCTGAAAGAAAGAAATCTCCAGATCCTTCAGTGTTGATCTTGTGCACTTTTGACAGCATTTATGAAGGAGGACATATTATTGTGTCAAAACTAGTGAACCACAAAAAGTGCATTTTCACTCTTCTGCGGTCAAAAACATAGCTGACTGATGCTGTTTGTCATTAGTTTTCAAGAGACCATATAAAAGGAAATTGTTTCTGGTTTTGGTTTTATCGCTTCAGCTGAGTTTAACCACACAATATAGCATGTGACTTTCTAGACAAAAACAAGTTGCACAATTGCAAAAATACTATTAAATTGTTTTATATTCCTCTCTGAAAACTTTAAAATAGTAAAATCAGTTCTGGTTATCCTTGGCATTAAATCTGAAATAATTGTGTATGTTTTGTTGCTTATACACTGCTGTAAATTATCCGTATTTGATGAGCTACATAGGCCAATAAAACCTTCAGTTTACTACAGTATTTATTAGTTTATCAGTTGACGAGTACTTAATACTCCAGCATGCTGTAGCATCTATTATTGAAGTGTTGCAAATAACATATATATAATATAATTTATAGTTTTAAAAACACCATCACCATAAATTTAATGATAAATTACTATAGTATTTATTTGTGTGTAAACACAGAAACAAAAAAGAGAGACTGTCACAATGCCAAATGCTAAAATCTAGCTTGTAGTTGATTATTTTAACTATACTTTATCAAAGCAAAACAGTTTTGGACAAAATGAAGACATTTTTTACTTGTAGAGCTATAGGCTTAGATAGTCATTATATTTTTAACATAAATGGCAGCTTGTTCTTGATTAACAGATGCAAAACTACTTGCTGAAAGCTGTGAGTTTGTGGCAAGATGATGAAACAAAGGGCCACTTTTTGAGTGGTGTTGTTGGTCAATATTGCAGAGTGATATTGCTTGACTTCTGGATTGCTGAGAATGGGCAAAAACATATTTACAATAAAATTAGAAATGTAAGTTCTTTAGTATTAATGTGTCAATATGGTGCAAGTTCTAGTTACCAGCATAAAACTATAGGTAGCAGTAATAGATTCTGTTTACTCAAATGCATGTTTGAGGCCATACTTCTTTACTTTACCATCACATGGTTTAAGTGCATTTGTAAAATATAAATCATTTTATTAAAATGCATACTTTCAGAAATATTTTGGATCACTTGCACTACACCTAACCACTTAAATAAGCAGCACGCAAAAAAAAGTCATGAGTATTTATTGCAAAACCATCTAAAAAAAAACGATACAATCAAGTCGTGTTGCATTTCAAGTCCTGCAAGGTTACAGATACCATCCCATCTCTAATCTCAACTGTCCAAATACTTTTGAGAGTCACTCTATATTTTGTAGTGTACAGAAATTATTCACTCTGTTGTTTAGCCCTTTCACAAGTTCTAAATACTCCCGCTGCCCTTCCTGGGTGAGCTTTTTTTTATTGTGACTGTTATTTAGAAAGTTATTTAAGCTTATCAGGTGACACACCACAGCCCCAATGGGTTACGTCTATATGGTGTTTTGCTTCCCTTTACTGTAAGCACTGACAAACATGCAAACTATATTGTGAATTATCTGATATTCCAATTATCATATTATATATATTATCATATTATTTGATATATGAAGGATTATGAGTGTTTAAATCAGGGGTGCCCAAACTCGGTTCTGGAAAGCTGGTGTCCTGCCAAGTTTAGCCCCAGCCCCAATCGAACACACCTGTGCTAGCTAATCAAGCTGTAAAGCTGTGGTCACACAGTTTAAGCTTCCGAAATTCTGTAGTACAGCGCTGCGAAAAGGGGTGAGATTAAACAAGATGATTAGACATTAAAAAAGGTCAGAGCTCACCACACCAAGCTTAAACTTTTCAACGCAGAGAACTGCAAAACTTGACGCACCAACTTGGGTTTCCGGTCTGATAGATTTGCATGCATTTGAATGGAAGTATATGTGGAGAAAAGTGCAGTGTGACCACAGCTTTCTAGAAACATCCTTGCAGGTGAGTTGAGGCAAGTTGGCGCTAAAATCTGCAGGACATCGGCCCTCCAGGATCAATTTTGGACACTCCTGGTTTAGACTATGCTGCAGGAGAGATTAGAGCTGCTGGATTTACAACACGTTTATTCATCATTTTCCTCCAAAACATATAAAAGTGTCTGTTTAACTGGGTGAGAAATAGAGTAAATGTTGGAGTAATATAAACAGTGTGTCTCTAATGTGAATAAAGCACATCATGCAGTTATTTAAAAATAATGATTATTGTCACCTCTATAGTCACCAGCGTGTATTTGCTAGTAGTCATGTGTATTTGAATGTCTGAAACCTAAAATAAATGTTGTTTGTTTGAAAACACTGATAAATTGTGATTTATGACCAGCACTGCACATCTTTTTCTATGCCTCAACTTAAATGAGATTTAAATTTTAGCAGGTTATGATGACTAGCCCCTTTCACACAGTGATACCGGTAAATTTCTGGAAAATTTCCGGAACGACTTTACCGGTATATTCAAAAAAGCGCTGTTCACACAGGCGAGGACGTTACGGAAATTTTCCGGAAAAGAGCATTCACACATCCATTCCAAAATACCGGTAAATTCTGACATCATTCACCACAAATGAGCTTTAAACGGCTACGCTTGTATTTGTAAACATTTGACTAAATTACAAACTCTGTGGATGATCAATATTGTGAACAACTTTCACAGGATCACTTTCGCATGTCGAGATGTTCATAATATGTGCGTGTGCAGGCGCTCATAGGCGCACGCAAAGCTTGAAGGTAAACAATTAACGGCTTATCATGAGCATCTCATCAATGTTTATTTACACAGTTGGCATCAAGAAGAACATATAAACGTGATCTGACTAACTTCTAGCAGCTAAATGTGTCTGGAAAAATATTCAAAGGCTTTTATCCTCACAAACCGCGCGGACGTAAATGCGTCTGACTGTTGTGATTGGCTAAAGCAGACGTCTCACGTCAGCACGTTCTAGACGTGCACGCGCTTATTACGGGAATCTTCCTTCTGCATTCACACAGCGCAGCATTCCGGCAAATTGCCGGTAATGTTACAACTTCTCTTTCCAGAAAATAGCCAGAATGAATTTACCGGTATTTTCAAAAAGGACCTGTTCACACATACAACCTTTCCAGAAAATTGCCGGCAATTTTCCGGAAAGGTCTGTATGTGTGAAAGGGGCTACTGACTCTGTATAAAGCACAAATCCAGCATAGAGGGGTTCAGTAAATTTGGTTTTGACATGTACAAGTGATTAAGTGTGTTTTCATCAGGGACACTGAAGACGGACAAAATGCCGGCCGGCTCATCCAGAAACACTCCAATTCTGTTATAGGGAGTTGTTGGGAGAGGAATATAAACCCCCCTGTTATCATGCCAGGCAATCAGTTTCTCTCCAATAAAGCAGCTCAGAATCCAGGACTTGTCATTGGCTCCGAATCGACAATCAAGACTTTCTCCTTTCCTGCCGATTCCTCCATAAGACACCACCATGTCACCCAGTCCTTTCCACTCGGCCTCTCAGTAGCAGCGTCCAGACAGACGCTCTTTACACAGAATCTGTGGGAGGCCAGTGAATCTGTCTGGTTGATCAGGATAAATCATCGGCTCTGAGTTACGCACCAATGTTTTGTTGTCCTCTGCAACTGAGAGCATTTCATGTGCAGTATTTGGATCAAGAGTGATATTACACGCATCTACGAACAAGAATAAGGAACATTAATAGGAGCACAAATACACAGTTAAATATAAACACAACACTTTCATTTTTGCTCCCATTTTCAAGAGGTCAATTCAAAGATTTTTTTCTATGTACGCAAAAAGCCTATTTCTCTCAAATATAGTTCACACATTTATATAAATCAGTAGTCCATTGTTAGTTCATGTTAACTCATGGTGCATTAACTAATGTTATCAAGCATGGACTTGGATGTTAAAGGGCCATGAAACCCCCTCGTTTCAGCAGGGTGTTTTCACACCTCTTCTTTGGAAAAAGTCAGAAAAGTGGGGGTGTCCAGCTCTGTTTAGGGGGGAGTGTCGGAGAAACTAAAGTGGGAGGGTGTGGGAGTGTCTATTTGGGCACGCGCGAGTTTCAGTCAAAATACACAGGAGAAAGGGATGGTGTTTAACCTACATGGACATCTGTAGTCGAATTATTAGCCAAATTATTAAATGTCGGACTTTAACTGCAGTTCGGCTCTTTCATTCAGGGAATTCATTCATGCCCCTCGCGACAAATGAGATATTTGATTCGAGATACTGCTCTAAGCGTGTATTTTTCATGCAATGTTTGATACCGCACGGCGAATGACAGAAAAAAAACTCCGCATTTCCCGGAAACTTAGATGCACACGGCAGGTAGCGTCCGAAAGCCGCGTGTGTTATTCCGGTCACAAAATGCGGTGCTAACATGTTTGCACTCAATGCAATAGTTAACTTATTTGATACGAACAAACTGAATATACAAAGAGCACTGGTCGCTCACTTACCAAATCTGTAGAGACAGGACAATCACCAGCAACTAGAGCCGCGTCTTTATGAAGAGAAGACTACATCCGGAATCCGGATTTCAGCGTTTGCAGATGAGAACAGCTCTCAGGTAAACAATAATCCCCCTTAGACACGTAAATTATTGTTGTCGAGCGTCGCGTACACTGTAATCCACACGTGATCCAGATAAGCTCTCACAGAGAGAAAATGAAAACGAAACTTAATGGCAGCAAACTGTAAAAGCAACACTTCACGCTTGTTTTGCCAACACAACGTGGCGTCTCTGTGGTGTAAAGACGGTGACACTAATGAATATTAATGAAGTTGCACAATAGAGCGCGCTGATTGGTTTGAACCAAGCCTAACTCATGCATTAATGCATCACACTGTAAGACGTAATAAGGCACACTCTGGCACAGACGTCCAGTCTGCACGCTGGAATACACGCTATTATGTCATGACCGTGACGCAGCTTCAAAAATTCGTTTCAAACAGGAAGTACGAATTTGCTTGAAATAACGCAAAAACAACCAATTTACACTTTTTAGTGAAATATAGGTGTCTTAATAGTGTTTTTAGCAGTGTGGGACACATATACGACTGTCAACAGCTCAAAAAATGTGTTTTGGTGTTTCGTGACCCTTTAATAATGCATTAGTAAATGTTCAATTATGATTAATAAATGCTGTACATGTGTTCTTCATGATTGGTTCATGTTAGTAAATGCATTAACTAATGAACCTTATTGTAAAGTGTTACCAAACTTTTAATTACAGATACATGTTGAGCCCTGGATCTTTTGGTTCAGTAAAGTATCCTAAGAAATAATACTAACAATTGTTAATAAATATTGATGATAACAACAATTAGAAGAATATTAATAATAATAATAATAATAATAATAATAATAATTCATCATTATTATCATTAATGTTTTAGAATAGCAAACCCGTACATTCAAACGATTTCTGAAGGATCATGTGACTGGAGTGATGATTTTTAAACTTCAGCTTTTGATATCACAGGTATAAATTACATTTTAAAATTCATCCAAATATACGATTATTTTAATTTAAATAAAAAATACTGATTTTAAATTAAATTAACGCAGGCTTGGTGAGCAGAAGTGACTTTTTAAAAACGTTAAAGGTCTTACTTTTGATTGGCAGTAAAATATTAAGTGGAATAATTGGAAACCCATATTAATTCGTACAATAATGAATACTGTGTGTTGATTAATACGATTAACACTGACTAAGAGTTGTTTCTCTACAAAAGACCTTCTTCACACTTTATTTTGATGGGTCGTTTGTTGAATATAAGTTACATTGCATCTACATGCCAACTAATTCTCATTAGATTATAAGTAGACTGTTAGGTTTAGGGTAGGGGTTAGTGTAGGTCAGGAACTCCTTTTCATCCCTGGAGTTTCAAGCCTCAGACCGGCCCACCTCAGTTCACTACTGACTATATTAAAATAAGGTAATTTCCAAATCAGTTTCTAATGACACCGTCACGTCTTTTTTTTTTTTTTTTTTTTGTGAAAACAGCTGCTTTAGAACTTCAAATGTTCAACAACCCTAACAGTATAATATGTCTTAACAATAAATATGAAAAAGAAAATAATTACTCAGACAAGGATGGAACCCGGTTCAGCAACGTCATAATCTAGTGTGCTACCCACTTGACCACAACAGCAATTCATTGAATAGTTACTCATCTGAGTTATATCATCATTAACCTGCAGGCTGTGAGAAAATATAGATAAAAAGAGCAGAGCTGCGGTAAAATAATGAATAAAAAGGCTGTGGTCAAGTAAATAAATAAAAAAATTTAAAAAGTGTGACTGCTGAGAGCAACAGATTCTGGAGCTAGGGGACACCGGCCCTCGCGGCCAAAAAACAGAACGGCCCACCGGGAATTCTCCCAGTCCCCAATCCGGGCCTGGTGTAGGTTGACATGTATTTACAAAGTTTCTTATAGCCAGTTAAATGTCTGTTGAAGGAGCAGTATCAACACATACTAAGCAGATGGGGTACTAAGTGGGAATAGAGCACAGCCAGGAACTATGTTTCTAACTACAGCTCCAGAGCTGTTGTTGCGAGTCCTCAAGTTTGCGATGCAGTTTGCGAATGTTCATTGGAGCGACGGATTTGGGAAACAGCAAATCAACAAACTATGTTTGTAATTAAGTAACTTGCGACCTTGGTTGGCTAACGATTTTGGGAAACGCACCCCAGGTTGGGTAGGTGGAGCATTCCTATTATGCAGAGCTACAGAAATGTCTATAGATGCTGTATTCTGCATGCCAGGCCAGTAGGTAGACTTTGAACAGAAACATCACAGGTACACACACAGCCCAACATGTAGCTACTGCATTTCATTGCCTTGTACTTGTACATGTAAAATGACAATAAAGTTGAATGTAACCTAATCTAATGAAGCCTAATCTAATGATCGGTCGATCAATCAGTCAGTCAGAGACCTTTGGAGAACAGCAGTTGCGAATGGTACTCGCAAGAAATTTTGAGATATGAGAAAGCCTATATTGCGACCTCTGGTGGATTCGCAAAAACAAAAACTTAAAAAAAAACTTTCCTCCTGGGATGTATTTCATGCTGTCCAGAAATGTATGCAGGGGCATGTATCAATAATGAGCCTGGTTTGTTTATTTCCCTGTCAGTCATCATCAATCTATTGACCTACAAAATGTATTCACACTGTCAAATTAGAAAATTTCTAGTATTAAATATTTCTTTAAACAATGACAATTTAATAAAAAATAAAAAAAATGTATTTTATTTCTAAAATATTATGTTTTATTGTGTGTAGCTTAATTGCAGCAAAATAATCTTTATATCATTTTCAGACAACACTCAATATAGGGCC